GACATGATAGGAATCTGCATTTTCATTCCACAAGCCAGGGCAAGTTATTAAAAAAAAACAAAAATATTGTTGTTACAGGACCGGAAACGTCTTCTATGGTATGGTATGATACTGTACAACCATTTTTTTTTCATTTTAAAGCTGGGGTAAACGTAAGCATACTTTTTACAGAAAATGGAAAATAAATGAGTTTAGACTTTTACATGATAAAGTAACAGGACACAGCAATTTCTTACAACAAAAAAACCCCATAAGATTTCACTTACAACCTCACACACAGGAAACTGTAAAGGAAATCATACAACCTGTAAAATGGAAGTGTGCCAAGCAGCAACAATGTCAGGATATTTTGAAGAGCTACCAAATTTCTATACATTTTTTTCCAGAACGGACAGCATAATTGCTGACAACACTGCTTGAAAAGTCAAAGAATGAAACAGTCCTTGAGCTAGTGTTTATTTCCCAGAAACATTTGAGTAGAACTTGATTTGTTCAGGAATTCTAAAACACTTATCAACAGAAACCACCAACATATATGATAAGTATTTAATTAAGTTTATTCATTATTAAACAGTCTCTTTTCCAGTGAAGGCCTCAAAGTGATCTTGTAAGACAAGATATGTTCAAGACTCCACAGACTAAAGCAGATGTAAAGGTAAAAATGATCACACTAGTACTCAGAAGGCTTTTTCAATAAGGAAGACAGACATTTAAAGAGAATGGGACACCAACAAACACTTCTATCAGAAGTCCTATTCAGCTGGTAAAGACAGCTAAGTGTGAAAACAGAAACATTTACATTGTAAAAGCCACAGGACAGTCCATCATAACTAAACCACATCTTAAAAAACTCCACAGAGACATGCCTAGCAGGCTCAGACATTTTCAAACTTAACTGCCTAGTGAAAGGCTTTGGTTAAAAAATGTAACAAACCACAAAAATAGCCTGTCCTTTGTAATACCAGTGACTTGATACAAAATTTACAAAGAAGTAAAATTTGAGGTCTTATAGCACAACACCATAATTTAATATGACATCCTTCATTATATTAATTTTATCTCAAGGACTGCCTTGGTCATCCAGGAGCTGCTGATGGTAAATTATTTCAGATTAATAATCATTCATTGCCTTTATTCAAAAACATTAAAAACTGAGCCTGCAAGTTAAGAAAGTTTACTAGAAACCAGTCTAAGGACATTCACATTTTACAGTGCAATATTTATTTTGTTTCTAGCTTCATATTGGAAGTTCCAAAGGAGAAGCTGGTCACTTTCAATTGCTCTGCAAAAATCCCGCAGTCAGACCTTCCTGCTGGGACAATGATTTAGAGAAACTTCAGTATGGGGAAATGATTGATTTTTTTCAGGTCAGGAAAGGTTTTAACAAAGCAGCAGGGACCTGCCTGATTTTGCGCTCATTCAATACTGCAAAGCAAGTAGGTATGTAGTGGTGTCAACTGTTCTGTGACCCTTCAGTAGCTATAAAACGCCTGACACCATAAAATCCAGAAGAGCTGCTGATTTTATAGGCAATTAATAAACACCAACTAACAATTCTCACAAAAAGGGCTAGTTTGGTTCTTCATTGACTCACCGACAACACATAACAAAGGCACTTACTCCTATCACAGATTTTGCCAAATTTGCTAAACTCTGCAATTTCCCTCATGGGATCAATTAAGTATCTATTTCCCAGTAAAAGTTAGTACTGTCTGCAGATGAGTGATAATTAGTTATTATATGTCATCATAAATACACTCAAAGAAATAACTTCTACACACCACAAGAACTACCAAACATGGTTATATGAGTTTTTGAAGAATTATGTTTTTTTGACCAGATCAAATAATGCACACAGGTGAGTAAATGCAAAGTATAATGTGTGGAGATACTTTTACATGTGTGGAAAAGGTAAACCGATGTGATAATAGGCTTGACTACAGAAATACCTAACAACAACACAACAGGACCATCACTTGAGAGATTGAGCGTGTGAACTGAAAACACAAATTAAATCTCATTACAAAAGGAGCCTTTGATGACTTTTTTTTCCTCCCTTATTATTGAGGCAAAAATGACATCCATCACCACTGAGCCGTGACATGCTATTCATGAAGACCAAATCTTTATTTTGAGTGGGGGGATAGGTCTAAACATGAAAAGAGGCCATAAGAAAAGAGAACACCGTATCAATACAGTATATAGCTTTCACATACTTTATCACATGGTTTGCTTCTAAATTAGACTAACAAAAGCACTAAGTATAGATGCAATTAAGCCTCAAAGAGTAGTGTTGCTTCTCATTTTCCCACCTCTGCTTTGAGGTAATATACCTAAATAGTAAACCCCTGAAGAAAGAATTTAAGTGTTACTACAGTTCTCAGACAGTTACAGAAACAGGACTACTGGGTGGTTTTTGCAGTCTTAGGCAAGCTTTTACAGCTTTAACTAGTTCCAGATCTTTGTCAATTTACAGCTTTTTATCTCCTGGCATGCTCATCAGCAGCACACAACTACATCTCACAATTTCCTGTCTAATTGTAGTAAGATTGAATAAGTACAAGCTACCCTGGTTTGTTTTGCAACAATAATCTAATCTGTTAATGAAATGCATCCCGTTTCAAGGCAGATGTTTAAATTGAAGGTTAAATTATTTCAGAATAACCGTCTGCAGCTAACCATTCACACCACCATTTGCTAGAACTAACCCTTTGAGTTGAAATAAGGAAAAACATCTTGTAATTGTATTTATGAACTCTAATAGCACAGCTTCTCCATTACATCTGTAGAGCAGATTTGCATGCTGCAAATCTAAGCATGGTGAGAAGCTGTTATGAAACTGATGCTGTAGTACATCAAACTTTCATGAGAAATCACTAAATGTTCAGAATAGGTGTTTAGTGCATGTCTAAATGATGTGCTATTTATGACTTTCTCACACAGTCTTTCCAAGTCCTTAACGTCTTCCATGGCTATGGACCATACAAGTCAAATGTTGAAAACAGATAACTGTGGAGTCTATTCACTCCAATTTGTGATTCTATTCACTCCAATGAGAAAGCTCCTCCAATTACAGGAGCCACAAACAGATCTAACAGACTTCACCAACCAGTTTGTCAAACATTCATTCTCTTTTCCATTTTTACTTCATGATAAATATGAAAATACTATTTCATATCTGAGAAATATATGCTATACTCCTTTGTCAGCTGTATGTTTCCAGCACACAAATTGATTTCAGTGTGCTTACGTTTTTATGCAAAAGTGTTGAACCTGATGTCAAGCATTAAATACCACCAATCATTTCTATTAATTTTATATACCACTGATGCACTCCACCTGACCAAAGGTGTCTAAATTATATTGCAAAAAAAAAAATACATTGCGTTATCAGGCAGTCATGCAACATACAAATCTGATGCGAGGAAGTAGGTTCAGTGCTCTAGATCAGATGTAATGCTCATGAAAACTAACGCATTATGAATTTACTACTATTGTGAAGTAGTATCTAACTTCGATCTTTTTTATTTAGTACCTAGTGGAACTTTTTTTTAAAAAATGAACGTTAATGTTCCCCAGATTTACTTTCAGACTAGATCAAATAATGACTAATATTATAGTGACTAATAAGATTGGATCTCCATAAAACTCAATGAAACAGTTCAGGATTGCGTTAAATGTATACATTACTTAAATGTATACTCTACCGGAGACAAGGGACAAATTGACATTGTGTTATTAAAACGTTACATCCGTGTTTCCTATCAGGTTTTCCAATGTGTAACCAAAGTGGTATGCTGTAGTTCGTGTCTAATCCTGTTTTAAATTCTGCTCTTAAAATTAGACTAAACAATCTCCAAGTTTCCAGTAACGATAAGCAACAGTATTTGCACACGAGGCTTTTTCCTAACTCATGTTACTCCAGGTTTTTTTTTTCAAATACATGTTAAACTTTAAAAAGGGGATGACAAACAGTGGCACTATACAGGATTCAAATTCAACTGATATAAATTGCAATGAAGAAAAGGGAAATGAAGGACACGATTTTAAAAGCTAGCCTATATATAAAAAAACTGAAGCAGCATTTTACACTTCAAAACTCGCCTGGTGGAGCATAAGAAAAGACAATCTATCCAAATGGCTAGTTGAGAGTCCCGAGATATCGACCAAATAAACGTCTCATTGCAACTTCTAAATGGATATTAAATAGATGTCTGCAGTTTAAAAAACTGACCCGGAAGAGAAATAAAAAAGTAGATTTCAACTACATAACACTAACACTATGCCAACAACCACACCGGCCGCAAAAAATACAGTAAAGGGGTGAAACAAGATCATTTAAATGAGTACTTCTGACTGTGTTTAGACGTGGATGAAACTACGTTTTCTCCCAAACGCCCAGTGAATGACATCAACTAAACCACACTAAACATCTAGGACTATGTTTGCCCGTCTGTGAAGTATTGATCATCACATAAAAATTCATCCGATTCTTGGGGACTTCTTTCTATTACATCCAATACCGCCGTTTCATGCCAGTCAAAATATTAGAAAATTGAGTTAAAAAAAGAGTAATTTTCGCAAATAAATGACTAACGCTCGACTGTCAAACCCAACGTCAATTTCATTAGTGTAAAACCTCAAGTCTGTTACGAGTAAAAATTCGTCGCCCCCGCCCCTCCACCCTCATCAGTACAACTACTTCCTTGTCGTCTCTAATATTTTTTTTTAAAGCGCAACACCAGCAGGTAAGTAAACAGGAACCTACGGCTTGTACTCCAAAAATCAATCGACGTCCACTCGCCGTGCCAACTCATTCACCCCCCTCGCTCACATTTAGGGCGATCAATTACAGAATATAAAGTTTAATAAGATTACACAACAACTATCTGCGCGAGTTTACATTTTTTTTAGAAGGGGAGGTACAGCAGTACAGCCGTGCAAGGGTAACAACGACACACTCTCCCCTCCTTAGAAAAGGAGAATAAGTGTATACTTACAGGGTCACTGTTCCGTTTGGTAACGTCTCCGGTGGCAATAGCTGATCAAGTTCTATGTTGCTGCAGACCACTTTCCCCTCCACGACTTGGGTGGTTTTTCCAGTGCTTTTTGGACGCTCCTCGCTGGGTTTACAGCCGAGGGGTAGAGCCGAGCAGCCACTTCCAAGAAGCAGAATTGCAATCACTTGCAAAAAATTCTCAGCGCAAACGTTCTTCATGTCTAATTAATAGTTATAAATACGCATGTTTCGAACAAGACGACTAAAATGCAGATGTTACCATCGGAACAATTTTTTTTTAATCCCGAACTGCTTTAACGTTTGTATTTTAATCCGCACTGACGGCCTGTGCGCACCCTATTCAATTAAAAAAAAAATCAAAGAAAAGCCTTCGTTTCAGTCATTTTGCAAGCTTATTGTCCAACGTGGAGCCTTCCTCGTCCATTTTTGCACGGGTTTCGTTGCATGGGCTCGTTGTCAGTCAGACAGCCAGGTTGTCTCGACATCCCTTTGTTTCCCAGGCGAAGAGACTTAACCACTCCATTTCTTTTTCCAGCTTTCCGGTATCAGTGGATAAAAAAACGCTGTATACGAAACTGACCACCTTCACAAAACTCCAACTGTTTATAAAATTTAGACCTCAATTATTACCCACATAATAGGAAACCGCAATTTTCTCTTTGTTGTCTGCATACCGCGCACTCGAATCAGGAATCTTCCCTATTCCGTAAGGAGACAGCTGCAGTCTTCCCAAGATAACACATTTAAACTTCAGGAAATGCGATCACCGAAAAAAACTTTCTCAGTTAAGTAGTTCTGTTGAAAAACAAAATAAAAAATCCCGATTGTTCCGCAAGTTCGCGCTACTGCACATTGAGCACACAAACGCAGTCGTAAAGAGGCTTACTTTCAGCTCCCTTGAAGTTTTTCTTTTGGTCAAGTAGAAATATTCCAACATCCAGAAACACGTAATGTATGCAACGTTCCCTCACTTTTAAGATTTCGCTTTACAGCTCAGCTTTGTTTCTACACGTGCACTTAAACTCTACAAAAAAAAACCAAACAAACAATTAAGTCGCTTTTTCAAATTGTGCCTCGAATTAAAATGTGCTTGATGGACCCTCCTTGGTACACAACGCAATGCTTCTGTCCATACGATTCACAAGCTTCTCATTGAGAACTCCACTCTTCCAAGACCTGCCCCGGGCTCCATGTTGAAATTCCACCCCCTGACGTCATCACAGGTCTGTCCTTTTAAAGACAACCTCCATCCACCAATATTTACACTTTCGAAAGAATCTGCACCCCTTTATATATTGCTGTTAATGAATATAATTGATCTGATGCTTGGTTTTATTATTTTGCGTCGTTCGTGTATTTAATTTAGTTTTTTCGTCTTGTTCTTTTTTTACAATGACATCTTCAAATGAATCACAGCTAGTATCACAAATAAAGTTTGCAGATACCAGAAAATAATCGGAAAATGTATTGTATTAAGAACTCACATAGCCTGCTTTTCCGGGTAAACTTGGAAACACACAGGCATTATATTAACTTGAAAAACTTGATTATCTCAGTCCAGTATCTTTTCTGAGTTTAGCAGAGTAAAATAAAACCCCGGAGGCCAAAGTCTGTGGATACCACCTTGTTCACAATGGTTACAGAAGTTTTGCAATCAGGAGTTTTGGAACTGTACTTAAGTCTTTTTGATATATTTGGGATTAGTTGTTAAAAAGTGAGGTAGGGAAACTGTAGATTTTGTTAAAATGGGATGTGAGCTGGCATTGTTTTTATCTGCATGTTTGTTTCTTCAATGTACAGCTCTTTATTGATTTTTTTTTTAATTTCACAGTTAACATATTATAGTTGACATACTGTATAACAAATAATCTAGCTCAACACTGCCTGTAAAGCTAATTTATAGTGGGGTCCAATCCTGCAAACAATCCAAACTAAATGTGGAATTATATAAAATCAAAAACAATTATTGTAAAAGAGCACTTGAAAAGACAAGTAAAAGGAAATAAAAACAGATGTTGGAGGATACAAAGAAAGGGACAGACTGGGTCATTTTCATACAACTATCGCTGTTGTGTTAAATGATCGCCTGTATTTGCATTATAAGATAATTATAAAAAAGAAGTGACAAGTGAGACAAATTTTTCAAAACACTAATGTGATGTTACTAACAGACAGTTAAATGTTGTTGTTTTTTTTACTATTATGTTGTAATTTTAGGATTTGGTAATTTGTCTTAAAAAACATGGTTAGGTTTATGTAACAGAAAAGTTGTATAAATACAGTACCTTATTCCTTTTGGCCATAGAATGGAGTATGAGAGAATAATTCCTGCTCACCTTAAAAATATTTCATACCGGATTGTATTTTGAGAAAAAAAAAAGATCTTTGAACAGGGTTCTACCCAAGTGAGGTGGATTTACTTTGTAAGCAAAGTTTGCTTTTTGAGTAATCTAGTTTGAAAATGTCTAGGCAACAGGTCACAAGTAAATTATGTTATGATTAGAAGATTATATTATGTTTGCAACATATTCTGTAGGATATATGTATTATCAGACTGACAAAAGAATTTCAGAGGTCTTAAAGATGCAGAGGTCTTATCGTCTTGAGTCCAAGGAAACAGTTATAGGTGCATTTTGTAAACTCTGTTTTATAATTTAATGATTGGTGCTAGTGTTTTAAATAGATATTTACCAGGTAAGTCATTTGTGAAGAAATTCTCATTTAAAATGACAATCTAGAGATCCATTTGGAAGGCATTTACTGTTGCAATTTGAGTAAAGTACCTTGCACAAGAGTAAAACAGTAGCGTCCCACCCGGAGGCTGAACAGACAACACTGCATTTGTGCTGCGAATTCTGAAAAGCCTAAGAAACCACAGAACAGTTACAGAGCTATATACACTGGCACACTTTGCAGCAATAAAGTTGCAAACTACCTGACTGCTATGGTGTGTTGACTACACTTAGTCTTTCATTATGTTATTTTATCTTCAATTAAACAGAACAAAGTTAGGAATTATGTAGCAGCGTAATTGTCTTTTGAGAAATTCTTAATTATTTTGTACAGTTGTAGACTTGTAGTTTTTCACCCAGATCCTCAATTGCATGTTATGTTTCTGAAGTAGACATGGCTTTAGTCACTGCCATGTTATACATTCCACTGAGCAGCTAAGAATAGCTGGGATAAGGATAAGCTTTATCGTCCTTCTACTTGGATCAGAAATCTAATTCTGTTTAATTTTCATTGTCCACTTTCACAATTAAAGTTGAAATTATTATGTATTACAAATTAGGGCTTTTTTTTCCCTTTAGGGTCACTCGTCAGTGGGGTACTGAGCATTGAATTTGGACAGAGGATATTAGGAGACCTTCTCCGATGTTGACCAACACAAAAACAACTGTAGTGTTTAAAGTTGTTCCTTGTCTTACAAAATGAAACATAATTCAAACAAAATTTTAAGTTGCACCTATTTATAATGGCAAGCCAGAGGATGTATAGCACTAACATGTAAAGCAGGTATCACCAGGTATAAAGATGAAAGTAAAATGTATTTTCATTGTTGCTTTGAAATATAAAATAAAATATTGCACCTCAAAGAAGCATTATTAAATCTCTTATTTTGTATTAATGGCCTTAGAGTGTACCAAAAATGATGGGCATAGTTACAACTTAATGAATATAATACAGAGGCAGTAAAAATGACTCAATCTTATATTAATAAATAGCAAAATTAATCTGGAAATTTTGATTATCATATGACAGAACAGGTTTCAGCAAACTGAACATTACCATTTTCTCTCAGATGTCATCAGAGTTATGTATGTCATCATTGCTCCATTAACATGGATTGTGCTACTGTATTAATTTTCCTCTATACGTGTTAGAAAAAGTATTTCTGTATAAAATGTCACCACTCATGATTTAAAAGTAGCATCTTTATTCTTTATCCTTCTTTCTGCAGTGTTGTCCCTTATTCCAGCTTGCAAGGACAGAAAAGAACGGTGTTATTGTTTCATTTTGTTCTTGTCCATCAGCCTGAAGCATGTGATTTAGGGATTTCGATAAATTCATTGATGTGTCTCAACACAGCCTGTTTTGTTTGTAGTCCATCACATACATCTTTGTTGGTTTCAGCTTCAATGAAAAAGAGATCACTTAGCTGACTTGAAAGCACCAAGAAAAGAAAGAAGCGCAGGGAAACTATCGGGCATCTTACTCTTTCTTACAGCTATTCATAACCTGAGCAGAGACCATGTGGGAGGATATGAAGGGAGTTTTATTCACTCTCACAATGAAAGCTCTTATCTCGACTAGAGATTTATTTACATGAAGAGATGACATCACGTTCATTGGTTAAAATGAATCTTGATCAGAAAAGATGACATTTTGTCAGTTTCCAACAGCTATCTAGCTGTAATAATAATTGACCCTTTTCTTTATCTCTCCTGCTGCCACGTATACTGTACATGCATACAGAGATATATGGTTCTTGTCAGCCCTCATATGAATTCTGGATAAGGCAAACTGTGTCTGTGCAGGAAAAGAATTCAAACAAAATTGCCATGGATGTACCCAAAACAAGGCCAAGACAAAAAGTGGAAAGATGAAACGTGGTCTTATCTTATTGAGTTCATCCTTTGGAAATGCCAGCTTTACAATTTGTGTTCTGTGGTGGTGTGGGCTGATATTTCATGTTTATGAAATGTTTAAAATAACTTATAATCTAGCCCTAAAGTGACAAGTCAAACACTTTGCTGTAGCAGATCCAGTACTGGTCCAGATATTTCCAGTGTGAGTCTTGTTCACTTAAGAATACAAGAGGGGGCTTTTTGGAGCACCTAGCCCGTCTGGTACTTGGTAGCTAATTTTTCCAAGGATGCTTTCTAGCTGTTCCTTCAAAAAAAGCAGGGATTGACTTCGACAATATGTTTGGGCAACTTGTTTCATCCTCCCACAACCCTTTGTGTAAAGAAGTGTTTCTCGAATAGCAGTATAGAATATCTCATAGTGACCAAACAAAACTGACTTAAAACCACTCTGGATGGGTGGGCTTGAGTCAACCAAGGTATCCTCAGGTTGCTGCACGTCTGGGATTGACCTATAAGCTTCACCTACAGGCTTGCTGTAGATGCTATGGTGTGAATGAGAAGAAGATAGTTCTGACATTACATTTTCAGGAGAAAGTCTAAAGTCTCCTTGCCTGTACAAGTTGTAAGCTCACTTAGCACCTGGTGATTCTAAATGTGGGTGGAGGGTACTAAAATAAAAACAACTGCAAATTCTAATTTCTTACAAAAAACAATCTTGGAATTGATAATGTGTAATCATCACACAAAGCAATATGTTTGTTTTCTGTTGAGGTTTCACTTGATTGCAATAATAAGGTAAAATAAAATGTATAATTACATAAATTTTCAAATAGAGATGTAAACAAAATAAAACTTTATTCCAGTTTATTCCAGATATTTGATCAAATTGATTACAATGAATATTAAAATAAGATAAAGTTAAATTTGGATATATATGTGCACTATGGAAGGCAAAACAACTTTTTCATTTTGTTTTGAACTGTGTGTGAAGAGCCAAAAACACTAGTGGAAACATGTTTAGGCAGGAATGGAGCCTGGACACTGGATTTGAGACCATGTTTTACCACAAGTCAGTAATACCTTTGTCTGCTCAGATGTTTGAAATTCCTTGGAAAAAGAAGCTTAAGAATGATATATTTAAGGTCCAAACTGGGAAGAGGTCATATCCTCTTGTCATACAGCTTGTCCCTCAGTGTGACAACACCTTTGTGTGCTCAAATGTTTGAAATTCCTTAGAATAGGAAGCTTAAAAATATATTTAAGGATTAAGCTGGATAGACATTATATTCTCTTGTCACACAGTTTGTCACTCAGTATGTTAACAGTTGCAATGACACTCCATAGTTCCTTCATGTCTGTTGCTGGAGTGATTCCTTTCTTGCTGCTGTGAAAAATTAGCTGCCATTTGTCTTTATCTGTTTTTCAGATCTTTGAGGGCTTGAGCTGTTGCTGAAGGAAGACTAAAAGTAAACAGACAGAGAGAATGATAGCTCACAGAAAAGACAAAGACACTTGAGAAAGACTGTGCTCGAGAAGCAAACAAAAGAGACACTAGGGCTACTTATGTGATGACTGAATGCGGGAAACCTTAACTAACATCCTGATTTGCTTGTCAAAATTCCTTTATAAGCATTTGAAGCCTTACACCTGAGGCTGAGGAAAAACATTAACTTGGATTTTGATTCAAATTGGAAAAGAACATGTTGGACATGTTGGAATTTGAGCTTTACTGATTTCTACTGAAAAGCATACACAATATCACACAGTAAAACTGTCAAAAGAAAATATTACCTGATGATATATAGTATACCTTTACACATAAGAGAGGTTTGCTTCTACTCAATAGATCAGCATGTTTAGTTTTTAAAATAGATTTACATGTGCTATTCTGTGTTTCCATAAGAAAAAAATATGATTTCGGAATGTCGAGTGATGTTTAAACAAGATGGCAGATGTACACAATACAGACATACACTCTGCTCAATACCACACTGCCAGGATAAAACACCAATAATGTTTTTCATGTTAAGTGTGCCTGTTTTATTATTTTGCTGGATACACAGGAAGTTGATTGCTGACAATGAGGAAAAGAACAATAAGGTAAACTCCAAAACCAGTATGTGACGAGATACTGTTTGTTTCTGTTTGAACTGAGAATGAGATAATTATACAATAGACATAATACAATATACTGTACAATAGAATACACAAATTAGGCTTAACAATTTCAAATATAAAGCCTTAAGACTGAAGTAATATCCTGTGTAATTGTTTAATGACCTTAAGCTGAAAAGCTTTGAAAAACGCATCAGATAATAAAACTGGATTAGATTCAATGTGTTTCATGTTTGTTTGCAGACACAAAGGTTATGCTTACGGCTGACTAAAATAAATACAGTACTGTTGATCGAAGTTAGAATTCCATCTTTCCACCACACACAGATATACACTCAGGTATCTGCTAGCTGATTTTTGCACTGCACACCTGAACAATGCAATGAAGTGAAGCACAAAAACTGACCAACATTGCAAAATCAATGTTTCCAGAAAGAACTGATTTACTTTTAGCTAGTTCTAATAATTATTTAGCACTTCTTTGCTTTTTTCTAACACAATAAACTATATGTCCAGCATATCTAGGGAAAGAAAGATTCTTCCAGAGCACATATTACATATTACAGTGTGTTAAACTCTATATCAGGGCATTTGAACAGAAGTTAAAGGGGAATTGTTCTAGAATGGGCAATACAAAAAAAAAGTAGGAACTGATCTGGTCCATTGGCAAAAAGATTACAGCACAGGATGCAGAAAAAAATAACTATAATCATCGCTGGTGTCTTTGTCAAAAACAAACAGGGTTCTTATGCTTCATAAACGATGGGACTTAGAAATGTAGCATGGTACCATTGAACAACGTTTATTGTAACTTTGTGAGGAGTGGCACTCACAAGGCACTTTTCTAAGCCAGCAACTATATCACCCTGCAACTCACAACTGGTAACCCACTTAAGCTAAACAGGTGTGAGCCTGGTCAGTACCTGGATGAGAAATCTCCTGGGAACATTTAGCTTGCTGCTGGAAGAGGTGTTAGTGTGACCAGTAGTTAGTGTCACCCTGTGGTCTGTATGGGTCCTAATGTCCCAATATAGTGACGGGGACACTATAATGCCAAAAAGGCACTGTAATTCGGATGAGACATAAAACAAAGGTCCTGACTCTCTGTGGTCCTATAGCTTTTCTCAAACATAGTAGGAGTGTTACTGGTGTCCTGGCCAAATTTCCCCTTGGCCTCCTAAAAATCTCCACCTATGAACTGGGTTCATTACTTTGTTCCCCTCCTTTCTGATGTGTGGTGAGTATACTGGCACACATTGACTGTTGTTGCATCAGGTAGGTGCTACACATGGTGGTGGAGGGGAGTCCACTTTGCATGTGCTTCTGGAGTGTCCAGAAAAGTGCTATATAATTGTAAACATTATTATTCTTCACTGAAGAACATGTTATGTTTTGTACCTTTTTGTATTTTGGGTTAAATGTTGTATTTACTTTAAAAAGTAATATCACAGTCAAACTTAATTATACTGATACATGTTGGAGTATTCAGAATACTGTGTAGAAAGGATAATTTATTTTTTTATTTGTTTTGGTTTTATTTTTATTTTACGTTTTAGACGTGATATTTTCAGTGTTTCTAATATCGTTCATTAAAAAGTAAAATTATACAGAGGGGAGTACATGTTTTGCTATATAATGTGGTTTGGGGAACGTTTGCATATTGTAAATATACACATCTCTAGTGTAAGATTGCATCATACTTATGATAAATGTTGAAGAAGACTAAGAAAACTTCATATGTATAATGAAAAATGTTCTATGGGATGCATTATTTAATAATGCACTATTTGCCATTTCACAATGTAGTTTGGGGTAATTTTTAAGTAAACGATCAATCCCACAGAATTATTGTCCAGACATGATAGATGTAACAGAGTCCACATGACTTACAGTAATAAAATTTCAGTAGAACGAGATTTTTTTCTTAACGACCAATACAGTACCGTATGTAATGCACATTTTGCTACGCCGTAAAATTTAGTTTTGTTGTAGTTTTTAGCCTAACTTTAAATCTTAAATTCAAGGTAATACTGCACCATTTCGATTAATGGTAGCAAGTTTTTTGTGATACATTGAATACTGCGTAAAACGGATGATTTGCGTTACCGAATAAAAAGGTCTTGGCTACATTTTCCTTTAGTTTAGCTTTCCACATTAAACTTGCCCCATATTGACGGGTACCAACAGCGAAAATATTTCATTAGAACGCAATGATAACTGCATTCGTGCAATATAACTTTTATAACTATTTAAAATGAGCCATGCACTCCTATGTAGGTAAGGGACAGGTAAATGAGGGAACTGGGACCAATTATTGTTCTTATAGTCAGTCTACCGTTCCTTTTCCTCCACATGATGCCGAACAGGTTAATAATAAAATGTATCGTAAGAAACCGATGAGCAGCCACCAGCTCTCTCAAGTGCACCACTGACAAAGCAACAGATTAAATCCTTATTTTATTGTTTTATCCCTGTCTGCTCTGCTCTGCTCTGAACACTTCCTTTCTACAGCGGGGACACTTGTACATGAAAGAGTGAGTGACGCCTAGACGCAGCACGGCCTGCACGCTGCGTTTGGGAGGGACTAAGCCTTGTTCGAATAGTTCTTGTAGTTTTCAGCTCATTGCGACTAGGTAATGGTTTCCCAAAGCAGAATGCAGTGCTGAACAAGATACGTTACGGTAGTAAAATGTCTCTACGCTTTGTGGTTTATATGAGTTAAAAGAAATACTATAACTGTTGCTGACATTTGCTGCCGAGGTCTGAAACCGCATGGGACTTTCATTTAGACTTAGGCATGCTTACGAACAAGCACGTTTTTACATTTTATGAAATTTGACAAAGATATAGATCTACAGCGGATATAAATAAATCTGGTGGTAATCATGTCTGTCAGTAAAGAAACCCAGTTTCCCGAAAACTTTGCCTGGGGGGCAGCAACTGCAGCCTATCAGGTAGAAGGTAAGTGCCTCTTTTTCAAATTCAATTATTATCTGTATGGATCTGGCCATCTGTAAAACTCTCACGTTTCTTTAAATCTGAGGATATTTATTTGTTTGATTTTCTAAGCTAGTCTGACCCTGTAAGAGCACATTGTAATAGCGTGTCATACAACATTCCTGAAGTCCAGAATGTGCCCTACAGTCAAAATAAAACTGAATTATTAACTACTTTTATCATTTTATCACTTTCATCACCAAGTATTAAGTGTAATATCAGCATTTTAACATATCACAATGCCCATGTGATTTGCATCACTCCTAGTCAAACTTGTTTTTAATATAACTGCATCATAATTGAGTAAAAACAAGACTATAGCATCACCAGCTCAGCAGGCTCCTATACATCTCCCAAGAAAACCCCATTTTAATTTTATTTCAGCATTTTGTTTCTTTTTAACATTTTACCAATTATATTTTATATTTCATGTGTTGATTTTGTATTGGTCTGATTAGTGTTATTCATTAATATTATTTATTATTAGTGTTATGTACTTTACCATTGGGCTTTGGAGCAGTGATAATATTGCATGTGTAATTCCTCACAGTCACATTCCAGTAGCTTTTCTAGAATGTATTCTTTCTCAAATAGTTATAAAATAGATGTGTTGCTCAAATTACCAAATGCTGTGAAAAACATAAACATAGAACTGACAAAGAAAGCACAGTTTTTGTATGCATTGATTTTTATGTGGAAAGTGAACTCAGCCTTGCTTTGACCAAAGAATGCTGGAGTACTGAGCCAGCTCAGGAAATCAAACAATGTAACAAATTAACAACAACAGAGAATTAAGCTGTGCAGCTGCAGGAAACAATTACAATATTTGGACAGTGTTCTCTGCAAGGGTGTTAAAACAACAAAGATTGAGGTGATTAATACACTAAACTAGAGAGCTACTGCAAGACTTTTTTTTACTAATCATTGCAGCGTGGGATATAAGGAAAGGAATTCCACACACAACTGTTTTCAAGATTATTGATCCTAACAATCCTAAAATGTAATGAAATGGAAATTGTTTTGATGGTTTTAATAAATGGCTAAATGATGGCTAACACACAGGAAAATCAAGTCAATCATGTCTCAATCTTTCTTGTGGATCTGAAAGATCACAGTTTTATGCAGCTTTACTGACCTAAACGCATTTGAAAGGAGTGTGCTACATGTGAGTGCTGATAGCTCACAGAGTGATCCATAACCAAAGCTTTATTGATGCGTTATCATGACCTCAGTATAATGGCAACAGATTAAGGTTTGGATTAAATTATAATTATGACCCTTTACTGATATTCCAAATTACTACCCAAGGACCGGATAGCTGGTTGCCTTTTTGTTGAAGCAAGAAACCCTTGGCAGATAGAAAAGCCTCCATCAAATAGCTGGGATTTTCAAACTGCGATTATTGGGCTCTTTGAATTCTTGATTTATTCCAGGCCCTTCTTGGCTGAAGTCATGTTGCAGATTCTTCAATTTTTCAATGAGACACAAAACAGATTTAAGCAACATTTAGATTTCTCCAGGAATCATATCTATATATATAAATCCATGTGTGTATTTTTCTTTTACTTAAATGAACTGTTATAATGTCTGATGTTGCATCTTTCTGCCTGAAACAGGAGGATGGAATCTGGATGGCAGAGGTCCCAGTATTTGGGACACTTTCTGCCATGGAAAAGGCCACGTCTTTCAAGCACAAACTGCCGATGTGGCTTGCAACAGTTATGAGCTTTGGGAAGCCGATCTAAAGTGTATAAAGGAGATAGGACTGACTCACTACCGCCTGTCCCTCTCGTGGTCACGGCTGCTTCCTGACGGAACAACACACCATATCAATCAGAAAGGTAAACTGTATTTTTTTTATTAGGGTGATTATTCTGACTATCGTTTATCTCACTGACTTCAGCCTTTACTCCTTTGACTTTGCTCGTTTGCCTGAGAGGACTGTATCCTGCAGTAAAGTATAGCTTCCCTCTCCAGTGTCTGTGAGAGAAGCCGCAAGCATTCCTTCTTGCCATCAGTCTGTCATTCGATAATTGCAGAGGATTTGAGGTTGTGTGCTGAAGTCAGTGATGCTCAGCATCTGCAGTGCTGCCTCAAACATTCATAGTTAACAATGTCAGTGTCTTCCTAGTGTGCTTTAGTACCTGAGGCGTTTATAATAACGACAAATTCCTTGCATTTTTGTAACGTTTTTCCACCCAACTCTACTCTACGTGTTTTATACACAGGATAAGACCCACTTCATCTCCATCTTAGGCACAGCAGCCATTATTTGCCAGCAGCCCCACTATGCTGTCAGAAAGTTTAGCTTTATGACAGATGATTTCCTGTCCTGGGCACAAGCCAGCAGTTATTGAATCACCATGTGATGCAGCAAGGAAGATTCTTCTGCCAGAATGCTACCCCCTTACGTGTGAGAGCTGTAGAGCTCAACTCTACTAAGTGTCTTTCACAAATTCTATAGCCAACAAATATCAACACTTTTGTTTAATTCCATGGGAATTCACAGTATTTCAAAGACCTCCCTTACAAGTGTATTGGACACAATAAAAGAAAAAACCACTCAGCTCCACACTCCTGTACAGTATTTCACATTTATTCAGCTTCTACCTAACAGCATGAAGAACCTTCCTCTGTGGTTCCCAGTCATAAATTATGTAGTGGCAGACCCAATTAGACTAGACAGCTACTGGTGTTTGTTTCCAATAACCTCTTCTGGGACCTTTAAGATTTCCATCCCAAGAGTGTGGCTGGGTGAAATTGTGCCCTCTGTTGGCCAACATGGAGAAATGTTGCAAAGGAACAAGTAAAAGTTTATTCCATGCTGAAAAAAGACAAAAAAAAAACACCGTTTCGGCTGTAGAACCTTCTTTGGCCACAACCGAAGAATGCTCAACAGCCAAAACGTTGTGTTTTTTTTCTTTTTTCAGCATGGAATAAATCTTTACTTGTTCCTTTGCAGCCTACTGACGCAGCTACCTACTTGAACTACTATGGAGAAATGTTTACAATATACACTGCATTATACATTTACTGTGCCTTACAAAAGCTTTTACCCCCTTCACAATTATGTCCACTTTTTAATTACAAATTATGAATACACATTTTTGAAGTGAATGTTTAAAAAATTGGAACTCTCAAGCTCAACACTTATAGGTAAAAGAAGTAGTTGTCCGCAAAACGTTTAAGAGAAAAATAAAACATTTTGAAAACTACAAGACATTGTATGCTTTATTGTCTGTTAGGAACAAACTCTTTGAGCTCTACGATGGTTTTAAGTTGGTGGAAATATAAATTACTTTCTTTTTTTTTCCAGGAGTTGATTATTATAACAAAATTGTCAATGACCTGTTGGCCAATAATGTCACTCCCATGGTAACCCTGTATCATTTTGACCTACCACAAGCTCTTCAGGATAAGGATGGATGGAAATCTGAGCAGATTGTGGATGTCTTTGACAACTATGCAAAGTTTTGCTTCAGCACCTTTGGGGACAGAGTAAAGCTCTGGCTTACTTTGAACGAGCCCTATGTTTGTGCCACTTTAGGATATGAAGATGGTAGTTTTGCGCCTGGAGTGAAAGATCCAGGACAATCTGTGTATCAGGTGGGCCACAACATGTTGAAGGCTCATGCTAAGGCGTGGCACAGCTATAACACCTTTTTTAGACAAGAACAGAAAGGCTTAGTATCTCTGGCTTTGAACAGTGACTGGGCAGAACATTGTGATCCAAATAATCCAGAGGATGTTGCAGCAACTGAAAGATATATGGCATTCATGTTGGACTGGTTTGCCAATCCTGTCTTTGTGAATGGAGATTATCCGATCATCATGAAAGCCCAGATTGAGGCCAGAAGCAAAATGCAAGGATTCCCCAGGTCTCGGTTACCGGAGTTCACAGAGGAGGAGAAGCACAGGATTAAGGGCACTGCAGACTTTTTCGCTTTAAACTACTACACTTCTCGCAAAGTGAAGTTTTCAAAAAGCCCTCCAGATAAAGTGAGTTTTGAGACCGATTTGGAGGCAGAAGGAAAAAAGGATCCATCATGGCCCATTTCTGGAGTTTCATGGTTAGCAGTAGTTCCTTGGGGTCTGCGAAAGTTATTGAAGTACATTAAGGTAAATCTCAGACTTTTAGTTTAGCTAATTCTGATAGATTTATGGAACAGCTTTGCAACATTTTTGCTGCAGCGCAAAGTTTGCTCCACTTTTTCTCCCCAATTAAGCGCCCTTAAATCCTACTGTTACATAAAAAAAAAATTTGTTTTCCACATCTGTACTTCTTTTATCATGATCATACTTTTATAACTCTGGTAGGAACAAATTCTGGTAGGAACAAAAGGCTTTGAAAGTCCCAGTCATTCTTTAACCAAATATGGAGGCATGACTGATTGTTTGCTATTCGGTATTCAGTCAGTACATGTGCAAGAGAGAACATGCTCGTAGTTGCGTTCTCCAGCTCTCTCCCGCAAATGCAACATTTGTATTTCCCTTTAATTTTATTTCCATCTAATCTACTCATTACTGAGCTGAACTCAATTAATTGAACGAAAAAAAATGGAACTCCATTACATGTTAAGAAGCATGTGATGATAAAAACTTCCTAAACATCCTGCTAAAGTAGGAACTGGAGTCTCAATAACTGTCTAAAATATGATTGAGGCCTCATAATTCTGTTGTGAGCCTCAAACAGTATTTCTATCAACATTATATAGATTTATATATAATGTTATATGTAGGCTAGCATTGCATGTTATATAGAGGTTAGCATTGCTGCCTCACAGTACTGGGACCTGGTCCACCTCCCCGGTGACCCTGAATTAGACGAAGCGGTCGGACAATCGATGGACGGATGAACAAAATAAACTTTTTTTCTTCCTAGGACACATACAATAACCCACCTGTCTACATCACAGAAAATGGTTTCTGTCAGCCTGACCCTGCACCCTTAGAAGACACCCAGCGCTGTACATTCTACGAAGATACACTGCTAGAAGTTTTGAAAGGTACTGTATGAGGAATATCCCTGTTATTCCCCGCAAAGAGTTGACTGCTTTCTAGATAAAACGAGAACAGTTGTTAGAACAGTGCTTACAAGTTGAAAATAAACTCTGAAAAAAGGGGGAGGAGAGCTCAACAAATTAAAAATGGTGTGGTGGTTACATAGGTTGGAAGCAGCACGTATTTCCGATAAGAGGGATAAACTGAATTTTAGTTTGCAACAAAAAGAAAGTGAAATCTGTGTTATTTAGCAATAGAAAACAAAATTGAAGTTTAAGACACAAAATTGCAGAGACACAGAACACAACATTGAATTGGACACAAAAGAGAAAACAGGGTTTTTCATGATATAAGTTTTTACAAAAAATGCACACATATTGCAGTTTTCTGTGAATATTGTACAACTGCTGTTATAAACATATGCAGAGGAAGTGAAAAATTGACTAAAACAGATTTGTTATCAAAATATAACCTGATTATTGTTTAAGAGTTTGAAATTAATCCTCTTTGTAATGCGCAGTCATTATGCTCTTTAATTTCTATTTTCTCAATAGTTTTGTGATATGAAACCTTGATTTTGTAGTTTTGATGAAACATCTTGATTTTTAATATTGAAAACTGAGTGATCTTTAGAGTATTTGGGAAACATGACCAGTACAGGTAACAGACAAGCAATGAAAATGGACATGGTTGATATTACTTCTTTCAGGTTTTTGAAAGATATTGCATATTGCCTTTAGCAAGAGGACGTCTGGATTGAAAAGAATTATATAAGCTACAGCTAAAAAAAAAACGTTGGAAGCAGTCTTTTAGTGTGATTACACAGGTACAGCTCTGCTAGTTTCAGTAAATGTGATTGAAATGAAGGGAGGTACAAGGAAATTGGGTCACTTTTTTGCTTGGGGTGAAGTCAAGGTTTAAAGAATCTGATTAATTTAGTTCTGGTTAAAAATTCTCACAAGAGAAAGTATTTGCAGCCCCTGAGAGATTGCGTTTATATCCAAAATGGAAATACATATTTTTTTCCTGACCTCCTTTTATTCTGCTTTTTATCTAGCTATGAAATCTTTGAATATACAAAATGTACTCGGGGAGTTGTTTCACTTATTATTGACATACTAATACAGAGGTAACATAAAATACATTTATTCAGTATTTGTGGCACATAAATATATGGGTAATGAGCTACTAATATATAATGCCTTCATAATATAGCTTTTCGGTCATACTGTACACAGATGTCTCTTTTTATTTCATCTAATAGTACCATTTATATCCCTACTTGTGTCAAACCTTTTGAAAAAAATCTACTATCATTTTAATGTGACACTTTAACCTCATTTTGTTTCTATTTCATGACTGTGATGTGGTACTACTATTGAAGTCCAGAGCTCAAACTGTATCCAGATAATTTTTTGATTCACTCAAGATTTGTTCCAAGGCCATCTTTTATAATATACAGATATTTCCCACATTTAGCACAGTCTTGATTTCTCTGATATTCCAAAACCCATTTATACTACAGCTGATGAACTGATTACTACAGCTCTCTTTATGCTAGTCCCCCACAGAATACATATGCAACACAGCAGCCCAGAGTTTTCACTTACTGATTCATCATATCAATATACATTACTGCACTATTTGCTGCTATCTATTGAGCACTTGAATTAGTTTTTGAATTTTCACCTTCTGTTTTATGTGTCTTTACCTTTATAGTTACCAGACATAATTACATAATTATTTACATATGTATTTATGTATTTACATAAATACATAATTACAGTTACATAATATTTTGGTATTATGTTTCTGTGGAGATTCAAGAGACTATCAGTAGTTCTCTGATAAGTTGGGAACAAGATAAAAAACTTTCAGGAAGCTTAAACACTGTGCAGATTTTGTTTTTAAAGTATTTGAAAATAAGCTGTTTTGCAACAATAATGTATGTTTAGCACATTTTTCTTCACAGCTCAAAGGTTTGTCTTATTTTTAAGGTGCTGTACTTTAAGAAGATAATATTGAAAATAAACTGTTATATTTTAAAAGTTGGTACAGTAAATGTGTTTTGAGTATTTTCCTTTAAAGAATCATGTATTATTTTGTTTACAGTACTTTATAACTATTATTTTGATGATGCATATGAATTTTTACAGCACTTATCTGTAGTTCTACATAAATGACTTAAGATTTTCCTTGCATGTTTTGTTCATGAACATGTTTTGTTTTTTAGCCATCCACCAAGACGGTGTTGATGTAAGAGGCTACTTTGCGTGGTCCCTGCTGGATAACTTTGAGTGGATCTATGGCTACAGTGTTCGATTTGGATTATTTCACGTTGACTTTACCCATCCAGAACTGACTCGCACAGTATACAAGTCAGGAAAAGAGTATTGTAAAATCATTTCAAGAAATGGCTTTCATACTGAAGAAGAAGGCTGAAGCTAGTCTGACATTTTTAATGTTGTAGGAAGTGCCAACATAAACATACCTTCAACCTTTGGAAGGGTGTACAGTATGTTTTTCAGAACTGATGGGGCCTACTGTTGGATGATTTAAATAAGGCATTAAAATGGTCCTCAAAATTTCCATCAGTTCATCTTCATCTTCTTTATTTCTGCTTCAGTAGATGCTATCAGTTCATTTTTAAAACTTTCACCTCTGTAAAAAACATAATTCTGTCAGTATATTCGTATATTTACAGTGTAGGCTTTTTGAATATTTCATGTTAATATTTGATGTTTGATTTGATTTCAGCACACTTCTTCTTCAGAACATTTTCAATAAAAGCGCAGCTAATAAGTGGCAAATCTGACTTATCCATCATTAGACAATTGTATGACATACAAAAACACACACGCACACTGTGATCGACATGCTAGGGGTCAAAATACTACTTAATTTTTTTTTTGCAATTTTTTGTAGATCACAAATTGTTTCTTAGTTTCTTGTCACTGTTTCCTGCCATTCCAGCTGTTACCATGCTGATTTCAAATGCCCATGACTCACTCCCCTGAAAGTCTAAGAGAAGTAGACTTTGAGAGTGAACTGCTACCTGTTGAGTTCAAAGGACTATCTTGGCCATTGCATAAAAACGATTAATGCTAGCACATTTTATATTTCAAAAAGATGGGGAGATGAATTTCACTTCCCCCACTTCATGAACAATTTTGTATGTATTTTTTTAATGTTATTATGTAATTTGGTTATATCCATATACAGTTCATGTCAAGGCTTCACCTAGTGAACAGGATTTATCTTCCCGTTGGTGGTGATGAACTGTTTTATACACAGAAGAGCTTTTCCTACTACTCTGAATGGTGGTGTATAATGTACAGATGCTGCCTACTGACTTTTTACACATTTGAAGGTGACGGGCAGTTTTGCATTTCATTAAAGATTTTGCCATGGTCCTTCAGTCAAAATGAATAATCATGATAATGTTGACCATCATTAACCACAGGGAACAGAAGTTACTCCCATAGAAATTATTTAATGATGGGGAATCATCCATATGGCTCTTGATACTGCAAATGCTTGACCTCACCGAATTTGTAACTGTTTCAGATTCTTCTTCCTTGTATCTTAGTGCTGGTAAGAAAAATCAGAGGTCTGTGGAAGAGGCCTCAACAAGCATTTAATTTCCCTATTAACCACTGAAGAAACAGAAAACTTCCCTTTTAGGAGCTCTGGAAGTGGAAAATGCTATCCAGTTATTAAGTATAGAAAGATTGCCCACAGGGTGTGAGTTGTAGGAAGCTAGCTCACTGCCTTAATGGACTAAAGCCCCACAGGTGATACGATTTCTGTACTAGATGGCAGCCAGATTGATTGTTGGGCAAGAAAAAGCCAGGAATACAATTCCTGAGTGGGCAAGCAATCACTCAGTTAGCTAACAGGCAAAGACACAGCAGCCATAAAAAGGTTTTTTTTACTGAAATCTCACCAACTCTTTAGGGAAGAGTACCATTTAACAGGAACAACTAACTGCATTTATTTTTTTAGAAGGCAATATAAAAAGTGATGTAGCAAAATAACTTCCTTTTAAGAAACCTATTTTCGCTGTCTTTTTTTTAAATATGGGTTTATATTTTATTTTATTCCTTTTTTACATGCCTTGATGCCTTGATGAGGCAAAAAAATAGAATCACTGATGTTACTTTTTAGTATCTATGACCACATCCAAATGGAATAGCGTGTCTGAAAATGAAAGCTAAATTTCTCTTATAGATTATACATTTTGTACAGTGATTGCAATCACTGTAGAACTGCTGCATTTTTTTGGTGGTGCTGGTAAGTATTTTTACACCTGCTGAACAAACACTCTGATCACTCTCAAGAGGACATAATGTACATGAGGAAAAAAAGATCTGATACCCCTAAGAGTATAAAAACAGAGAAACCTTTTGACCTGTAAAGGATGTACTGTATGTAAATACAAATAAAGCAAACAACTGTTTGTAAATCTACTTACTTCTTATGAGGTGTATTACTGGTTTCTGTAAAGGTGTAACAGATAATGGCTAACAATAGCAATAAGTAATTTATGACTTTACTCAGATCAATGAGTCAGAATAAAGGGCTGAATTATAGCATGAGCAACTGCTGTAACAAAACCACTGAATTAGAACTTCACTTCTTACACCATCCAAAACAGACAACAAGAAAGTTAAGTTATTCACTCGGACTGTTACTTAAAGTGAATCAGTGAGTGGCAGAGTTTGGGTTTGAACCAGGATGTTTTTGGCAGAAGACCCTTTAACTTAAATAGTGAAACAGCTGTGAAAGGTTAGTTATTGCACAGTGAGGCTGTTTGGTTTGCACATAATAAGTGTGCAGCATAGCCATTTCAAGGGTTAGTAAATCATTCGCTGATAACTCAAGATAGCGGTGTAGCATTTCATTTTTGAAAAGATTTTTTCAGTTTAAAACGGATCATAATTAAATTCATAGTTATGATTAAATAAACCCTGAATACAAATATTGTGTAATTTATATGGACCTTACATTTTAAATATCAATGCCTTCTTCCTGATAACATTTGCTTCTAAAACCTGTTCAAGACACTTCTCTTAGGGTCAAAAGAGTAAACTATTATGCTGTACATATGCTTAGTGAGCTTCATTCTGGAAAATTCATGTGGGTATTCTCTAACAATGCAAGACAACAACTGATGATAATGCAAGTGGCAACTGGCATTTTCTCCAAGTATTAATAATTTAATTGCATTGCTACAGGCTAGCTACTTGGCCTTTAAAACCTGTATCACTAAGAAAAACAATTCTGTATAAGACTGAGCAAGCTTCTTGATTGAATCTGATTCAACTTGATTCAAGGATATGTATGAGTCACAAAAAATTAACTGCAAAGTTAAAAACCATCCCACAGAGAGAATTATAAACTCGCATAGCAAGGTAGTTGTCTCTACATGAAAATCGTTTTATACCTAGATAAAAACTGAAAGAACTTCTTATAGAAATGCAAATAAACTCAATGCATATTGTGGGGACCAAAGTGATATCTGAAACAGAACTTCAGATTTTTTTTCCTGTTACTAATGACAGTCAATATGCTGCCTCTTAGTTTTCCTCTTCTAGACAATGAAAAGCAATGAAAAGAATATCCAGAATGGATATATGTTTTCAAAGGCATTGACAGAGTGACATTTTTATCTTAGAGAAAATTATGAGGACCCCATGGAAAATGTGAAACAGAGAAAATTATGAGGACCCCATGGAAATTGAGAACTAAAAGGGACTAATTTGGAAACTGGAATTTAGTGCTTTTAAAACCTAGAACAGGTTTCATTTTTTATATTGTGTGGATCTGGGATAATCTACCCAGCTATGTTGTTGAAGCTGATACACTGGCTTCTTTCAAAAAATACTTGGATAAGATCTTAGAACCCATGAGTTATCAGCAACCGAATGGGCTTGATGGGTTGAATGGCCATTTTTCATTTGTAGCTTTTCTTATGTTCTTCTAGCAATAATTTCATAGCATTGTGCGTCATTCATGTCTTCTCATAAAATGATCCTCATTTCATGCTTGAAAACTCTTTCTGAAGCTATTGTGGCAAATATAATCGAAACAAAAATCACAGAAGAGAAGCTAGCAGAAGGAACATAATTAGATTGTCAAAAGTAATGACAGGCAAATTATGGCTTAAGCCCTATCCTGTAAATCCCATGAAATGAAAATCATAGCTTGCCTTGTCTTTCAAATGTTACCATTTAAAAGTTCATTTTGACAGACAGAACAAGACAACTATTTTTTGACAAAAGATATGTGGTGTAACAAGGCTGTAAGTACAAAAAAACATCACAATTCAGCTTATGGATTTTCCTCCAATTTTGCGGTGCTGAAATTGCAAGCAATCAGATTTTGTGGCAAAGCAGTTTTTATTTAAGTGTCTTAAACTGATGATTAGTTTCTTAGAAGATGGGGAGCAACCAAAATTGCTTTAAACCAATGGTAATTTACAGTATGTTTATTTACAGTTTATGTTTTATCAAATAAAAATAACAACAAATGCTCAAATCCATGTCACTATGCAAAACAAGGAAGATTTTTCCTCCAGTCATGTATCATGTTTTAATTCATTTTGTTTTCCTATTCCACCTGCTTGAAAATAGTCTACATTCAGCGTTACACATTTATTTCAAATACTTTAGTTCTGGATCTGCCAATAATTGGTGCACTTTGAGTAAAAGTACTTTATCATTGGGTGCGCTTCCATAAAAGTCTCTTTGTAGTTCTTTTTTTCTATAATAAAAAGCAGCTTTCATTGCCTTTAGACAATCTAGAGTGAAATGAAAAATCGGTAAGATAGGTTAAAGGTTATAAAGGATTTAGTCAGTTTGAAAATGGTTAATGAACCTCAAAATATTGACTTTTGACTCCAAGCTGAGGCGAACAGATGACATACAAGAAAGACAAGCTTATGAATTAAAGAGGTCTATCATTTTTCCATTGTAATTTAATGTAATTTAATTTAAAATTGAAACCTAAATTTAATACTACAACTCTTTTTTATTTGGCTGAGGAATTTTAGAATTTCTGATAAATCTTGCAGTGTTAATCACAGATCTATCCAGAACAGAGACACCGTTTCATCTACTCAGTATGCTCTTTATTCCAGTTTTACTTCTGGATCGTTTTACATGGTTCTTGTTAAAATGTAATGAGATTATTATGTACTCCAGTTAATCCAGGATATAACATATCCTCCTTCTCAAAGATTTTGCTTATATAGTACATTTGTGTTTTTGAAGTTTGTATTTAGGTAGAAATGAAATAAAGGGATATAGATCAAGGCCATCCAAAGGAGTGTGGTATTTGACTCGATGAAAATGGCAGAAAAATGTTGACTAAATATGTAGTCTTGAGACTACGTTTAATTAAAAATAAAAAGTAGAAAGTAAATTGTAGTTCTGTTAAGATTGATACTTTATGAAGACAGGAAAATAAGGATATTGTTTTGTCTCGTAAGACGTTCTATGATATATCCAGTAGACTGCAGACCAGTAGACCAATCTTGTAAAGTGGGCTTCCAACTCACGACTGTTACAAAAAGCAAATACTTCAGTTGTTCATTTTGTTATTTGACCTGCACTGCCCTCTTGTGGCTGAAACAGAAATAAGTATTTTTATTGTATGGTACAATCTTTTGAGACAGGTCAGAGGAATACATGTTTAACGTTAATCACTGTTAAATGTATTATAAAAACGAATTAATGGACTTATTTACCTTTTGTTTGTCTTATGTACACTATTGTGTAGATTTTGAGTATTGCATTTGGTTCATTTA